ATTACTTTCGACTGCCCCTTTTACCTTTCCTAGGTACGCCCGCCATATTGACTTTTTCTCTCCTACTTCGAAACTGTTGTCATTTGCCAAGTAGACTGCTCCTGTAGGCGTCCCTGGGTCCCCAGTTGAATGGGGCAGTACAGAATCTGTAGGAGTTGGTGCCAGAGCTACATAACCGTTCTTCGAGGCTGAATTTGTTATGGTCATAAGTGTCAGAAGTCCTTGTAGCGACCACGGCTGGAAATATCTTGGACACGGCGTAATGGGGGTTCGAGGTGGATAAAGTCCCGCCTACACGGGGTAAACTCGAACATGGTGCACATCAAAGACTAACCACGGGAATCACCACAATGGCAGTATACAGTCGGTCCGGTATCCCGACAACAATTTTTTCGTCACATCATCAAGCAGGCTTTGACAGCGCCAAGCAAGTAGGGTAATATGCCAACCTAATGCAGGTATTATCAATATCCCAACTTTTTGTGATCAGATAGACAGGTCCGCACGGAGCGATGAAAAAGAAAGAGAACTGCTCCCAAAAAGCGCTTATTCTCTCGGTAAGTGTTCATCTATCCCCGCCTTGTCAAAAAAAAAATCGACAGGAGGAAGGTTTTGGAATTGGAAGTCCACCTTACGTCGTTTCGAACCATCAAGGCAATACCCGTAGCGAACCACGAACTAAAGAATCCTTGGAGAAACGCCTAGGTGGAGGGAGTTCCTTACCAGGAATGAAGTGGGTCAGAAGTAAATTAATATAATGAATCGGTTATCATAAAGCCGGGGCTGTTTTGGAGAATGAAGGGGACTGTTGCCACAGGCACCGTGTAATCTTTGAGGGCATATTGCCGCGGTTGAGTACAAGAACAGGGGATGCTAAGTAAATGGGGTCTTAGAGGATATAGAGTCATGCCCAAGGGGTAGGCCGTCCAAGTCTTCTTCGTTTCGAATACGTTCGAGCAGCCCTTCTTCAAGTTCATCTTCACGGATGGTCCGAAGCCTGAGGGTGTTTGTCTCACCATTTTTTGGCTGTTCTTTCGTCACCTGAGTTCATAAATGGCCAATTGTCAGTTGATGTCATTTTTTAAAAACGAGGGAGATACCTACAGCAACATAAAGCGCCGAGCTGATGATAATGGCAGTCCCAATCACGGAAAGGATGGAAGGGACAGTATTGAAAAATATTCGTTCGATTATCGCGGCAAATATTATCTATGGGCATGTCAACTTCGCGCCATTTACTTGGTTAGAAATACACACTTGAGTGTATGCCGCCATTGACCCCCGACCTGCCGTTTCGCGTTGTAAACCCATGGCTAAGAATACCTAGAAGTAAAAGTAAGTAGGGCAAAGGAAGCCATTTAAGGCAAAATACCTGTGCGATGAAGCCAAATATTCCCATCATGAAGAAAAGTGCAAGCCATTCTTTTTGTGTAGGTATGACAAACGGGGTACGTGTTACTAGCATACTGTAGATCCAACAAACGATGAATACAACTACGCAGTGATACGAAAACACTCACGTAGGTCCGGAGATCACAAGGCTAACAATTGAAAACGACATGATCGAATGTAGTGTGTGGGCTCGCTTCCCGATAGCGCGCAAGGATGTGTCTGTCCAGTTGTTTATCAATATCAAATCGTGAGGGTACAGTGAATGACCCACATGCTCCCGTTGAACCCAGGACGCCCATCAGGCCCGCTCTAGACCAGAAAAATAAGAACTTTTACATATATACCAGGGTTACAAAACTAACCCAACCGCAATCAGCCTTTCAGTAGGTGTGCCCTTCTCTGAATGGATAAGCGTGGTACCACTATCCCTACTACTTGGGCTAGAGCTTGACCTCAAGTTGTCATCACCAAATAAAAAGACAGGGCGTGCAATGAGCACCACTCCACCGAGGCTCAATACTAAACGCGTCAGCATTACCGCTCGGTGCATTGCGAGGAACCGCACTTACAACTAGCGATTGCCTGTGTCTTCGTGAAGTTCTCCTTCAAAAACAACACGCCTGTGATGCCGGTACACAACGGCGCGAGAAATGTAATAACCGTGGCATCCGAGAGCGACAAAAATTGTAAGGAATAGTATATGCCGAAGAGTGCGAAAAATCTGGGGCAAGCGAAGGTGAACGAGATAATCAGGAACAACATCGCCATGACGTACCCCGACATACCCCGGAATACAAGGAGTAACCTTACCCCCTTCGGCCCCAAGAACGGGTCCGGTACTGCAGTCGCAAACCTACCCCACACATCAATAAGTAAATCCCTCATTGATAATTCCGGACGCTTACATGTATATCACGCAGCATATGTATGTGATTCCCTAATAAATGCACGATCACCTCAGTTTTTTTTTGCTTAGAATTTAAGTAATAAAAAACCTACCATCCGAATGGCAACGAGCTATAACGAGGTATCATTTGAGCGCTCAGTTTCGTCATATGTGAAGCAGGAATGAATGTACCTGAAGTGTTGATACCGGCGGATCAATATTATGCAGTCTTTTGACTGCGGCATCCATCATCGCGATGAACGCCATCGAGGCCGTCACAAATAAAAGCCCAATATTACTTTCGATTGTCTTCTTCATCTTTCCCAGGTAGGTCTGCCATTTAGACTTTTTCTCGTCTATCCCGAAAGCATCATCATCTACCGGAGCCTCGGCTGAATGGGGCAGCAAGGTATCGGCATGAGTTGGCGTTAATGGTGCATAGCGTAAGTCGTTCTTCGAGTGCGTCATGGTCGTAAGTAGGCTTTGGAGTCCCTACGAGTCTACGACGGGGAATCCTCAAGCAGGGCGTTAGGGGGGTCAAGGCGGACGATGCCCCGCCAATGACACGAGGTAAACTCGAACATAGGGCAGCCGACTAACCACGGGAATTTCACGGGAATTATGTTGATCCACGTTGTATGCGACCGGACCGGTGTGCCGTTCAGAGCTCAAGATGGTCGTCATCAGTGTACTCCAACAATGCTCATTTGAATGGGAGCCATTAGTACAATATAGGATCAGATCATTGATTTCCAGGCAGCTAGTCAAATGTATGGCGTCGCGTCCTCTGTTGGCTTCCGAAATTCTCGAGATTGGTACACCGACACGATAGCGCGCGAAGCGAACAATAAACGAACAATAAAAGTTGCACCCCCGAAAGCACGCATCCTTTCGGCGGGATGTGCAGCTATCTCCCAGCTTCCCAGAACCACTGGCCTGGGACAGAAAAGGGTTCGTTGTCACTTCAAGCCCGCTTTGTGTCGTTTCGAGCCACTAAGGCAAGTCCAAAATCGAGGCGAGCTCCAGGTTTCGAATGCGAGGCTGTGGTATGACGTCGTGAGGAGGGCTCGGCAGGCGCAGACGATCCGCGCACGCTACGATCGTACGCGGAGGAGTCCTCGACCGACAAGTGATCATAGGATGCCCAACCCGAATCAAGGATGAGCCGAAGTTTTTTTTAGGCCGGACAGCCTAGGCAGGTCCACGAACCAAGCTCGAACCACGGGCTCAAATGGTGTGATGATAGTGTGTAGTGGGGCTGACCTTGATAGGAAAGTGCCATTGTAATCCCAGGAACAGATGTGCATATATGGGATGGTGATCATCGAATCTGAAGCATGTCAGGGTGAGCCAATGGACTTGAGATTGCCGGTGTAGATTGGGGGGTGATGAGAATTGGCGCTGAGGTGCGGTTGGTCGAGGGGATGACGCATTAGGTGAAAGTATCATTAAACACTGGAACGGCGAGTGCCGTGATGATGGCCGTCCCATGGAAAGTTGATTATTAGGTGATCGGGTTCTTCGGGAGGCTGCACAGATTTCGGGATAGTAGATTTGCTGTTCTAGCGCCTACTTGCTTACCAGACAGACGGATAGGGAGGGTTTAGAGTTTCCGATTAGCATGATTGCGCGACACGAAAGAGATCTGAGGGCGATTTCGGGCCTGGGTGTGAGTAGTGTTTCACCTGGAGGTTTTTCCGAAGACAGAGAAGACGGTTGGTGCGATGCCGTTGGGCAAAGAGGCTTCTATTGACAGGATGAGCCTCGTTGCCCCGCCTATGGCCATTTGGTGTTGACGGTACCATGAGGTGACCTCGCTGAATGTTTCCATGACGAGTGGGGTAATCGAATTGGCTCCTACGTCGTCGGAGGACAAGAATATGAATGAACCGGTCGAGATGAGGCCTGTGGAAATTTGAGCGAGGTGGACATTGTAGGTGACCGAGAGTCTAGAACACCCAGCGTTCCTCGACAACGTTACGCCTGAAAAGCTCGGTACGTATAGATATCCCGTATCCAGCAGTGAGAAGGAGAAACCGACGATTGTATGACCAAAAGTGTTTATCGAATGGAGTGTTCCGTAGCCGCCCCTGATGAAGTGGTGATATGAACCTGAGTCGGGATACCGCAGATCTCTTGGGAGACCTTGTTCTTACTGGAGTATGAGGATGCTGAAAAGTTTTGCATGTTCCAAGGCAGGCGACGTATAGGGCCTGTATGTGTAATGCGGTAAATACGTCCCAAAGAATCGGGGAATATATTGTTGACCAGGGATCTATCCATGCGGGATGCGCTATCGAGGGTGACAGATTTCTATTCAAACGTAGGCTGTTCGGAGGGTCTGAGAGCGTTGGCACTTTGTGGGAATGAGTGTGGAGATCAAGCTTCCTGAACTGGAGGAAGCTAAAGTATTTTGGCGATAAAAATTTCCTGCAAGAAGATAAGTCAGATTCGTCATTATGACACAAAGATCTCGCTCGTCACCTTCTACACCTCCGGGGAAAAGTTGGAGAACGCAGCGACTCCGAGCTGGGCGACCCTTGGAAAGCAAACCGGGCGTGATTGTATGTATTTGGCAACAACCTCCGACGTTCGGAATCCAGTTCCGGTTCCTCGGGGCTTCAATGGCCAAAACTCGCGCAATTTGGGTAATACACTGGATTAGGAGTGGATTAACTCGGTGGTGATTATTCCAGACTATTCGAGATGATTATTAATGTATACACTGATGGTGAAGTGGTTATCATGCTTGCCTTCCATACGCTACCTGTTTGGTGGGATGTAAGCAAGCGGCAGGGGTTCGATTCCCCTTCAGTGTAATGTATCTTTTATCGACATGATTACTTTTTGTGTGACTGGGTTTTCCGCGCAGGGTTAAACACGACGCTCATCCACGTATTCGTCCTGCCCCTCACCAAACTCGCAAACCAGCTCATGGATCTTTGCACGAGAGTCCCCCCCACACATGGATAAACGTCCCTATGAACATTGATCATATCCTACTCACACATTGAGAGCCGCGTCTTGACTTGGCGTCGCTTGCCAGTGGATTGGACGCAGCACGAACGAAGACGTAATACATAGTACTATCGGCCTATTACTGCATGGAAACTCGACGCTTGGTCCCTCTTTGGTACTCCTACCTGTGTGGGATGCATGTCATTTCCTTTTCAAGGCCTTCCACGTGCTGAGTACGCCTTTACTCGCCACCTGCAAATCCTTCATCGCCCCGGCTCCCCATGGACGCGGAGCTGCACCGGCCAACAAAAAAATATTATGGAAATCACGAGCATACTCAAGCTTTATGATACTATAGACGAGAGGTTCACACAGCTCGACATGACAGGCCCCCCCGTAAGTGCGTCATTGGTACCGGCGAATTTCCCTAGGTTAACGGGTTCATCAAGTTATAAAACCAAGACCTACAAAGTTATTTTCCTTTACACCAGCGCGCGCGCCCTTCTACTTTACATCAATCTATCAGACCTGATACGTTTAATCTCATCGCTGATCCAACACATAGTTCGCAATCGTTGGGATACCGTGGCGACTATAGATGGAAAGATGTTTTAGATATTGAGTGTGAGTCGGGGCTCTTTTTGTTCCGTTGTATATATCTATTTCACAATGCTATCTATCAACTCTCTTCTATTTAGCTCTGTTCTTCATATCAATCTCCCTTGTTTTCACTTCCCAACTACAACGCGCGCCTCGGACGACGAACTCGACTGAGATGCAGAGCTGATTGGATCCTCAAAAGCGCTATCGGGCTTGGTTGGTGGCCCTTGCTGTACTCGCGCCCTTGTATCTTGTTCTCTACCACCTGCCAACATTTTTTTTTTACCAAACATTCGTTACCACCCTTCCATCCTTCGCGTCTTGTCTTCACGGGAGCCGAGCTGCAGTCTCAATGCACCACCTCTGGTCTCGGGCAGTCGGGCCTCCACCGACATTAGACCTATTTTGGGACGAGCACGATAGAACCGTGGGTAAGGCATGTATCGCCTCGGCATCCCATCTGGTCTCCATGTCATCATCCCGTCAACACATGTTGTGCTCATGCACCTATCAAGACCATCATGTTAGCTGCCGATCTTGCTTAATGCTGCCACATGTGGCAAATGGAGCGTGTATAGGACACGAGGGGGCGGCGGTGCGGCCGCGTTTCTTGCGAGCACCGTGCTAGTGGCGTGTTTGTTGGTTAGAAATGGTGCGACAGGCATGCTGTATGTTACGTGTTGTATGAGTTGAAGAGGCGGTTGCCATTCGCGAACACTGGAGGCCCGACGATTCGGGTACGCTACTGGCCGGGTGTACGAATTTCGACATGTGTGTGTATGCGTGACGTCATTGTTCGGGAGCCTGGGCCTTCTCCACTAATTATGTTTTCTTTTTTAGTTGTTCGGTTCGTCTTGAACGCGTGGGGCAGTGCCCTTCATTCGAGCCTCGAGGCGTGCCGACCTTTATCCAGTCGACCGTGATCCGAATAATATTACCTTGATCGTGTTTCGTCCTGCCATGTTCCGCTGCCATTCGCACTGTTCCGTACGCTTAGATTAATGTGAGTGCGTGTTTCGTCCTATCCGTCCTCAAGCTTCTTTTGCTATGTGTTTCGGGGCTGGCAGGTGTTGGGCAGTCGGGCTCCCGGCCTGCGTGGCCCTACTCAGTCATTTAGGGGTGATTTGCACACGCGGCCGCGGATGGGAGGGTTGGTTCAAGCAGTCTGCGGTTCCTGGATCTTTTCTGTGTTGGTTTTTTGTTTCAATGATGCGAGGATCTCGTATGCGTCTATAGTGGGGTACGTTGGCGTCAATCGTCGATCCGAGAGGCCCTTGTCCGTGATCCCCCCGCTGATCCTCGCGTGGATGCACCAGTACTGATCTATGTGCCTGTCCCCTTGGATAGCGGACTGGTTTCCCGTCAGCTTTTGATCTTGGGGTTCGACGCCCGTGCACGCGTACGCGGCATTGTTGTAGATGGCCGTCGAGGAGACCGATCGTGTTTTGTTGGATCTCAGTTCCGAGATTTCTATTATCACACTTTTTTTTATCGTTTAACGGAGGTTCTTGTTTATTTTCATCGTTTATAGCTTTTCTGCGCTTGTTGTACTTGGCCCGTCCTTGTCTGCATTCCCTGGTTCGCTTCGAGGTGTCAAGCTTATTTTTGCAGGCCCGTCCATCTGGACCCACTTTCACCACAGTTCACTTGGAATTCTCCGCTGCTGTATTGATTCGCTGATGATATGTTTTCCCCCTCCCATTTAGTTACAGCGGTAAACTAGGCGCCCCCCCTTACAATGCCATTGGCGGCGCCGAGTACGGAGCCATCTGATGGACGCGCGGTAGCGGGAACGTTCCCGCGTGGTCCCAATTCTCATGTTCTGAGCATGGTTAGCAGTGCTAGACTGCGGTGGACGCGGGTCATTGCAGGTAGACCGACGCGTCGCTCTGATGCCGTTTATACGCAGGGACTCGCGGGAATAGTATGGCACGATGGCGCACGAGGGACGGCGCGATTGGGACGGGCCAACTATGTTGGGAGCGTTGTGTCGGTCGCATTAGAATAGGAGACGTGGGATTAGATTGTTGTAATAGAGAATAGAAAAACCGGGCGAGTTGAAGCGAATACCGGAACGGAAGTGACTTAGGACCGATCAGCTCGGCAGTGAGTGGCGGTGAGAGGCGGTGCGAGTCGGGCTAACTGGTAGTTTGTGAGCCGGCTCGTGTTTGTGGCGCGGTTGGTTGTTATGTAATACTCGAAGCTTGGAAATGTTGAGTCGCCTCCTGGCAGCTCCTACTTATACTCAGCCATGGCTACTTCAAAGCCCATCGCATTGCCCTCAATCCCAATCTCAGGCAGCTCGTCTGCTAACAACGACTACACAATGGGCTCTTACTCTGCAGATGCAAATGGTAACTTTAACCCCGCTTCGTATACTCGCCACTTTCTCGGTTCCCCCATCTCCTGGAGGGCGGGCTCCTTTGGAAGCAGGTTTCCCCAGGGTTCTCCTACTGTCCAACTTCTAAGCTCAATAGAGTATGTATCTATTTCTGACTATCATCTACTGTTACTTAACAAACAACAGTCCCAACGAGTTCAGGCACACCAAGATGTCGTCGTCAATCGACAGTGACCGCGGCTCGCTATTCAATGCATGGAATGTTTTTGATATGGATGCAGAACTCTGCAGGAACTATAACTGCTGTGGTCTTCAGCTAAATGATCTCCATGCTCTTCTAGAGCACTTTGAGGAGGTCCACATTCTCGTCGCAGAGCCTGGCCCACCCCAGATCCAGGTGCCCTTCAACCCCCAACCTATCAACCCTCAGATCGCATCGCACCAACACAACCAGAACAACCAGCAGACACATCAGAACCATATGCGACACCAGCAGCAGCCGTTTGACACGGACGACATGGAGCTCGAACTTGATCTCGACAACTCGACGCATCCCACCCCTGCTGCCACCAGCTCTTCCTCTCCCTCATCTGGGGGCCCAAGTCCACCACACACGCCCGTCTCTGCACCCTTATCAGCTTACTCATCCCCTTCAGGAGGATCATCGACCCTCTCCTATCTCCAGCCACAAAGCCAGTTCGCTGGCCACTCACAACAGTACACTCAGTACCAGACAACACCATACGCCAGTGCCCATGCCTCTCCTTACGCTTCGGAGCCCCCTTCGCCAGGGTCCACGCCCGCGATTCAAAATGGCACCAACGGGACCACACACCCGGCCGTGCACATGCACCCCCATTTGTCCCAGGCAGGTCATTACCAGAGCAACGGTCCGAACGTACTCACGCACCCCGAAGAGGCATTCAACTCATATGCCCGCTTCGCTGCTGATTACTCATCACACATGCCGGGCACACAGTTCAACGGCAGTAACGGCGAAGAGATCGTTGTCGGTCAAAATAACGTTGTTGCAAGTTCCGAATACGGCGTTGGCGTCGTTAACGGCACCGTGGGCGAGTATGGTCAGTACATAGGTCAGATGAACGGGATCACGGGACAGGGACAACAGGGCCAGCAGTGTATTCCGCCTGCCCTATTGTTTGCTTCTACCGGAGAGCGGGAAGCCCCACGAGAAGGCCGCGAGGGAAGCGAAGGTGCCCGTGTGCCTTCTCCCCCTATGAGCAATTCCGCGAAGCTTAAGCTCAAGGTCCGCGGGGGCGCCTCTGCGTCCGACCCGAACACCCGGGCTTCGTCATCTGCGTCCACACCCGCTCCCACACCCGCCCCAGTCACCGTCCCGACCCCCTCGCATACACCCGCACCCGTACCTCAGTCCTCGTTACTTCTCTCCAAGCCTTTCCGCTGCCCAAAGCCGAATTGCAACAAGAGCTACAAACAGGCGAATGGCCTCAAATACCACATGACGCACGGAAGCTGCAATTTCGCACCTCCCAAGGATCTCGAGCATGTGAAGGACTTGCTGGAGCGTAAGCGCCGCGAGCGTGAGGCTAACGCAATCAATTCGGGCGGAACGGTGAGCGCCGCGGGAGGCGCGGCATTGTCGCGCAGTGCAAGCCTTGGAAGCCTGGGAAGTGGTGCGGCTGGATCTTCATCCGCGACAAACGGAGCCGGGGGTGAGCCTTTCTTGCAGAATTCGCACAGCGCATATGGCGACCTTGGGTCCATCACCGAGACAGAGTTGCGGGAAGTGGAACGTGAGGCGGAACGACGCGTGCGACCGTTTGCATGCGGCGTGGGAGACTGTCAGAGGCGGTACAAGAATATGAATGGACTGAGGTACCATTATCAGCACTCTGGTGATCACGGCGCGGTGGGGCTTGCGCTCCTCGCAGGAGGCCTGCACGAGTGTTTGAGTGGAAACAACGGCACAGTGGGCGGCAGTGGGGAGGGAAAGGGGAAAGGAAAGGGCATGGGTGGTATAGATGAAAGAGAAGGCAGGAGACGGCCTCTACATCGCACCGCTGGTGCTGGTGGGATTCGCGGGGGAAGCGCGAGCGTGCCTGTGAGCAGAGCTGGAAGTGTCGTTGGTGCAAGCCGAGTCGGTACACCAGTGGGATACGCTAGTGGCACGGCAACGCCGTACACCTCTACCACTGGTGCGACAACACCATTCTCCCCGGGCGCGACAACACCCTTTACACCTGCCGCGACGACTCCATTCTCCCCAAGTTATACAAATGGGATCGTGGCGAACAATAATACGACACCACCTCTGACACCTTTGACCGCTGCCGTCCAAGGTCTCGGGCTCGGCGGAGGAAATGGGGCTCAGAATCAGGGCCAGCCAAGGTCGCAGCCACATTCCCCAACTGCCAATGGCGCGCAAATGTACGCCCAGCAGCAACAGGGATCACCTCAGATGCAACAGCAACAACAGCACCCAACTGGCGCCCAACAACATCAGCTGGCTTACCAGGCCCAGTTTGCGGAGTTGCAGAGGAGATCGTATATGCAAGCCCAAGCCCAAGCGCAGGCTCAGGTTCAAGCCCAACAGCAGCAACAGCAAGCGTTTGGACACCAGCAGGATGCATTTCATCACCAGCAGGAATATGTTGATGCGCATGTCCAAGCCCAGCAGGCGCAGGCCCAACAGCACCTCGTTGATGCCCAGGCACAAAGAGACTTTGTTGAGGCCCAAAGAGCCCAAGCGCACCACGCTCAACAACAGAGGGATTTCCAGCAACGACAATTTGGCAGTGTTGATATGACAATGTCCTAAATTGCTCCACTCCATCCTGCAATACATCACCTCCCCCGCCCAGCTGCAATCCAACCGTCCAACCCCGAGCTTGAAGTCGAATCCAAACCCAAAAGTACATATGTATTCTCTATTACATTATTTCTTTTCCTCAACTCCACCATTCTTGCTTTCTTGATTTCTCCCATAATGTCCCTCACCGACCCGACCGCCGCTCGTGTTTCGTTTTTTTGCTTCGCTTTTTTTAATCCTTAATCGACTTCTCTCAATACCGGCCAACTACATATCCTGGTCGAGGCTTTTCTGGCGCACGCGGCTCGGGCAGGATAGGAGGAGCGGAAGGATGGGATGGGGATAATATTTCCCACCCACAAACCCTAGGCAGCACAAGGCTTCAACGCCTCGTGTCCCTTACACCCTCCCGCCCTCCCTGTGATTCTTGCACACACCAAAAAAAAAACCAAAACATACCTGCTGCGTTTATGGGCCGCACAGGTTGTACTTTTTAGACGTATCTCATCTCTCTCTCTTGTGTTTGTTCAAAATCTACTTACCTTTCATGCATTCCTTACTTAGCACCCCTTTTTGTCTTACACATGCATCACCCTGCTCTCGAATTAATACACTACTGACTACCACCTATTACTACAACACATCTCATACATCAAACCCATCTTCCATGTGCTTGGATACCTGAATCATACAAAGAAATCTATACAATATATTTGTACACTCCTTCTCCTACCAGTGTTGGTAATCAATCCACGATCGTTGCCTGTGTATGTTTCCTTCGGTGTCTATAAGATTCTGGTCTGATCTCTTCTCTTCTGGTTCTGACTCGAGAACCTTCGAGCGTCGAAGGTCCGTGCGCACAGGAGCCGTCGATCGGAAAGAGTCGGGGGGCTTTGGCACACAAGCGCAAATAAGCGTGTCTCGGCCCCGTCGCGACTTGGTTTGCCCGCAGGTAGCAGGTTGGCCCGCGTCCTCACGCCAAGGCAATGGAAACTCCGGACTCAGTCTCTACCGCGACCGCAACCTTGAAGCGTTACTGCTGCGCTGGGTCCTGGTTTCCCGCAATATGCGGTGTTGCCAACGGCGACGCGTGTTACAGTGACACGACGGCGTGTCCTGCCCATCGCACTCTCGATACCGTTTTGAACATACAGCAAACTCTCCTGGCCGAGTAAGCTTACTCTAGCTTATTATTATTCTCTTCCTCGGCCCTGTTATCTAAGCTCATCGACGACAGGAGAGGGGTAAATACATGTGCGTGCAAAAAGCCCGCAAGCGGAAAGGAACCGCGGACGCCGTCGACGATGCCCCTAGGTATCCGTGGCCATGACGCCCCAGACCGAAGAAATTCCCCGGCAGTCATGTAATACTACCACATGGGAAAGCGGGTGATTCAGCACGTCGGTCTCGTTCCGCCTTGGTCCCTTGGTCCATCCAGTCAACATTTCCTTCCTCGTTCCGAAGCCTGGCAGCTCCTGGCAGACGTACACTAGAAACGCCCTTTGAGCCTCGAGCCCATTCACGTGTTGCGCTAGGTCCTAACCCGGTATCTATGTATTTCTCCCGGGGCCTGTGGCGTTTTGACTGGTAGCCTGTGGCGTTCCACGTCTTACGTTGTGTGGAAGATTAGGGTACACACGCTCGGACCACCTGGTGGCTAACTTGGAAACACCCTTTCTCAAACCCTCGAGTCAAGCTCGTCTGGGGACCCCTCTTGGGTTAGGCTTTCTTTGACAATTGGCTTCCTGATGATCACGTTTTACTAGGCCGTTGAGGATCTATTCAATACAGGACGCGCCCACCCTGAAATACATTAACTTGAATGAAACATCAATCGCCGGCTTTCGGACCACCATGAAGGACGGACAATCACGACTATGGGGCTACGCCCATGCATACAGTTCATCGGAGTATTCACATAACTTGTCTAGGACATTTTTAGACGACCGCCTCTGAGCCTCTACCCAAGTATGAATATCCCCGGATTCCCCCATATTTCCCTCCCCGACAGATAAGGGAACTCCAAATCATACCATTCACGGAAATTAAGGTGTGGGCTTCGCGCTGCTCCATCGCCCTTGAACAAGGTGGGCCCACTGTAGAACACCCGCCATCGCGCCCTCGAATTGAATTGATCATTGCAACCTTATGAATATGAGTACCGTCCCCGCTGTTCCCGTCGTCTATGTGGACACTACAAAACTATAATTTGTATACTTGCATTCTTTGCAAGATACGCCTTGTTTCTTATCCATGACTCCTTACACTTCGACACGCGCGGAGGACCGTCCATTGGGTTGTTCTATACCATTCCCCTTCCTTACACACTCAAAACTGCACCCCCTTCCATATCTGATACAACCTTTAGACAGAAACCTCTAACATTCGTTCGCGCCAATAAATTTTTTCACCGCCTCCCCAAAATATCAATCAGTCCTGGTCACTCACCTGATGACAAAAAATCAGGAAATATCGTCCACCAAATACTGATTACACTGAAGGGGAATCGAACCCCTGCCGCTTGCTGCCAGCCCGTGAATAGGGCTTGAAATGGAAGGCAAGCATGATAACCACTTCACCATCAGTGTAGTGTTTGGTGAAAAATACTGAAAGCTCATCATCTGTATTTGTGAGATAAACAACTCCTCGGCAAAATATCAATTAGATATTTTTGAAAAAAATCAACTTGACTACTTAGACTCAGAAGACCATTGGAAAGTAGGTTTTCTACCACCCACAACAAGACCATGCCTACCAGTACTCATATATATCTGCAATACATCACATTAACAAACAATGGGTCCTTGAGTGGCAGTAAGCCCCCGATGCCGGTTTTAAACTGTTCATTCTTAGTTTGATTGTGGGATAAATGCCCGCCACCCAAGTGCAACAATCACTTGGGCTGGAATTTAACAATATATTACTTCTGTTTTCATTGAGACATCGTTCATATTTTGACACAAGATTGATACCCTATTCTGTAACTAGATTTCGATTCAATTTCTCACTAGAAACCCCAGGTGAGGTGTAGCGACGATCACTTGCGCGAGACCAATGTCAGAATGGACGTAAAACCCGCGACTAGATTACTCACGAACAAGGGCGAGCAGATGAAGGAACTTGTCATATCGTTGAAGTTGAGAGGACCACTAATTCCCGGGACATTAAAGAGATTATAGACATTCCCTGTTAAGCCTCCTGTGAGCAAGGCGACGTCGAAGTCGGTAATAGACAAGCAGCCAAAGTTTCTACGTGAAGTTGAGTCTCCATCAATCAGTCATCTAGAATATCAGTCAACACTCACGCAAAGAATGTGCAGGTTATCCCAGCCGGGATCTGCGCATTCGAAACCTCGTCGTTCAAGAAGGAATTGCCGCCAAGGAAGTTGACACAGCTGGATGCGATGACTGGGATGTCCACACAGCCAGCACGAGGGTTAAGGCTGCCTGTGCAGACAGTAACAACGGGGGTTGCAAGCTATTCCCATCCATTTAGTAGATACTGGTATGTCGATCTTGGTACCAATCGTACCTCAGATCTAGTCTGCACCTCGGTGGGAGCTGCTGAGGCAAGAGCTGCGAAGGCGAAGACGGAGGTGATGTATTTGATAGAGAGCATGTCGATGATTTAAAAGCTGGAACTGAAGAAAAGGGTGGATTGAGCTTCTCTCTTTATACAGAAAAATAGGGAGAAAAAAAAATCGAAAGGTACTAGGCTCCGATCATGTCACAGTATGGTGATCTTCTTTTCAACTGCCAGCGGGTGAGCCAGCATGGATTCGCATATCTGTAGGATCCACGGGGGCATAGTACCGGTCTGTTTATATCTTCATTATTCCATATCAGAAAATAGCAGGAAATATCGAACAGTAGTCAAGACAGGTGACGTACTATTTACGTTTTACATCTTGTGAAGCATCTACTCAAGACAGCGAAGTTTGATCAAGCTCTTCTGTATTTTGCGGCGCGAGATACCGGAGGGACGAAGTTATTGTACCGTCTTGCACACCGGCTCCTCTTCCAAGAGTGTTATTATTCCGCACGACACTCGCTGCAGTATAGAGGAGCACAAGACCAAAGGAGGGAATATGTATAGCTGAAAGAAACCGTGAAGTCAGCGAGTAAGGCATAGAAAGTAGATACATGTGCGTCCGTGGTTCACCCCCAAGTGTGTGACATTAGAGCCATGAGGTAGTCAATAGAATGGGTGTTTTTTTGTACCTCAAGTTCAAACAGATTCCGCCGTAGGTGTGAGACGGGCGCGTGGGGCGGACGCGTCTTGATTTCATGTTCAAATATACCTCACTTGAAACATGAGGTAGGGCATATAAGGTGGACGTGCCTCTACTTTATATTCAAATCATTATCTAAACAACGCCGATGTCAGGTAGAGCTCATAAGGCGGACGTGGTCGCTCTCTTTAGTCTGATTCTATGTTTAAATCGTACCTTCAAGCAATGTGATGCCATATCTCAACCATATCTCATCTCAGACGCCAGCACATTGATGAACATAGATCAGGAGAGAAGCAGTTACCCTACCGGCATCAGGGGGTTTAGATCTTGGACTGTCTGTATATCTCCGTGTCCAACTTGGGGTTCAATCTGCCACACTTTGCAAAGTTAGCCCTAAAAAGCGCATTTTTCTTGCTCACTTGCTTAGGGTCCTGTGCGACCTCGGAATCATACGAGATGCTCATGTAGGGAAATGGTTGACTGTGCACTTTAAGTTAGGTGGGAGGTCATAAAATGGATCCTGCGGGCTGAACGCGAAAATCCGACTTGGACTCGGCTTATGGCGTAAGCAGCCACGTGATGAGAATAACAGATGACTCGGATAACATGTCGTTCGTAGCAATAGCAAGCTTGAGTTCGACTCACTTAGCCAACTTAAAGGTATCGCTCCTAGAGAGGCGATTAGAACATGGGAGTTTTGAGGTGGTGCGGCACCTATATTTTACAAGTTCATAGTGGGGTTAAGATATATTTTATTTGAAATATACTAATACTAGCGACCCTATTTCTATGATCAACGCATCACAGTTGACGAACTTCAGCTTACTGCGACAGGGTCATATCAACCTATCAAATTATCCCAGAGTCATCCGAGCGGCCGGAAAGTGCCCTATTGGTCGTGAGGTAGTATGGGAGAAGAAGGAAACACATTGAACGAAGCCAATTGAGAGCCAAGATATTCTCTAGGAAGTTTATGTCACGGATCTTACTTCAAGTGCTCTTGTAGGTTATTTTTTGGACTTCCGTTCTACTACATTGTAGTTACTGGTACATACTAGATCCGGATTTTTGGACCAGAACTTCAATTTCCATAATATGTTCGGGGATCTCGGGATTTAGGAACCTCAATTTGTATTTGTTGGATCCGTCCACCGTGACCACCACGAGTCCTCGACCCAAAACATATGTGCCACCTTTTGTCTTTCCATCCATTCCACCCAGACCTGCATATTCCACTTCACGGAGTCAACGCTAGGCTAAGACTCAACAAACCCTGGAAGGGGTGTGGCACAATCAGGCCCAGCCCATATACACCACACGCCATCTCTAGTGCCCATATGGCCCTAATGATCCCTACATATTATCTCCATAATTCCTAAGACCTTCCTTCAGAGAACAGGATCAGATAATCGCTTTTGACCCCCTGAACCACTCTTCACTGTTCCCATTAAAATGCGTACGTTAAGCGTTCACCTCCCAACTTTCAAACAGTAACTCAGCTCGTCCAACCAGGTCTCATTATTCGTGATGACCCTGTTGCTGTGGGGGACTACATCGCCAAATACATATGCAAAAGGTCATCTCGTCGCTTTCCTTATATTATTGTATTAAATCTTGATATGATTGTAGGATCAATGATTTTGCACCATCCGCAGAACGGCCGTTCGTCCTCGGGCTACCAACCGGTAGCTCTCCTCTCCCAACGTATAAGGCTCTCATTAAACTGGTGAAGAGTGGAAACCTATCGTAAGTGAAATATGAGGGAGAACGGGTAAGGTCTGACTTATATTTCTGTTCAGGTTTCAACACGTCGTTACCTTTAACATGGACGAATACGTCGGGCTTCCTCGCGACCATCCAAAATCCTATCATAGCTTTATGTTCCAGGAGTTCTTCTCACAAGGTGCGAATTTCAGCTTTCTTCGTCCCGTGCTAGTTAATATACAGTCGTTCCTAAGTGGATATCCCGGCGAGTCAGGTCAACATCTTGGATGGGAATGCACCGGACCTCGTAGCGGAATGCAATGCCTATGAGGAGCGCATCAAATCTTTTGGAGGAGTGGAGTTGTTTTTTGGTGGGGCAGGTGCTGATGGACATATTGCTTTCAATGTAAGTGCTCTCGGGTAGGTTCTCAGTCTCTAGTCCTAGCTCATCTCCGTCCTCAGGAACCTGGTGGGTCATGTTATCCTGTTGCTCGGTGTGCGTGTCTATAAATTGGTCAGGATCGTCGCTGGCTTCCAGGACTCGTATAAAGACACTTACTCACGACACCGTCGTTGCAAATGCCCGTTTTTTTGACAACGATATCTCCAAGGTTCCACGAATGGCGTTGACCATCGGTGTGGGGACTGTGTTGGATAGTAGGGAGGTAGTCATTGTTGTGACTGGTCTAGGAAAGAGTCTCGCGTTAAGTAAGGCAATAGGTACGGACCTTTTTTTGAGGCATGAATCATCACTAACAGATTATTCATTTTGGAAGAGGGTGGTGTAAATCATTTGGTAGGTATACTAAGCTTCCCCCTTCTTTAGCCATTCACATCTCCTTTGCTTAGTGGACCTTTTCGGCGTTGCAACTCCACCCTTGGGCGTTGATAGTTGTTGACGAAGACGCAACTGCAGGTATGTAATCAAATTTTCCATCTCTGGTTAATGCCCCTCATCCCAATCCAGAACTTTTGGTGAAGACCGTAAAGTACTTCCGTTCCATTGAACGTGTGCAGGACGATGTGGAACGTGTCCAGGCTGAATTGCATGCCAAGGGAAAACCCCAACAAGTTGGAAGTATGGATTAAGTGTTACGAAATGTATTTTTAAACGAATTACCGGATCTCCTATCATTTTTGTACTCTTAGTCCACATATATAGTTGTTACTTTTCGGGGAGGGAGTGCTGAGCGCTAAGGTTGGAGCCTCGAGGCGAACAAGTTGATCCCAAACAGGAAATAGACGCCTTTCCATCAAATCACACCAAAAACACAACAATTCGACAAGCTTTGCACGCATAATCTGAAGTTGATACTCAAAGGACTCAATTCTCACCAGCTATGCCCCAAAACTACTACCAACTCGGCGGATTCCGTTCTCCTATCAAATGGTAACTTAATACTTTCGTATCTAGACGTGGAAGCCCAGGATGCTAAGCATTTCCAAGGTTTCTTTACAACGATAAAGGACTCGCAGAATGCATCGCGGGAACGGGTTCTCCACTAAAGTCGAGCACCGATGATCCTGTCGAGTTAGCTCTCGGTAACCTGGAGGCAACTAGACCGTATAGTTTTGGGCGCACTAACACCCCCTGCCAGGAATCAAACCCTCTGGCACATCGCACCTTCTACTCACAGTAGACCAGACCCA